CTGATCCGACTGGGCTAATGAATTATTTCAGTGGCATTTAGTAATTGAACTGGAATATACAGGTCACAATATCATTCATAGAGACTAGAGACGCCTAGTCTAAAAGTCGCTCAATAATAAGCAGTAATTCTAATCCATAGAATTGTGGGGGATCACGTGGCTATAGTAAGACGATGACTCTCTAGCTTGGAGGTCGGGTATTCGATCCCTGCATTGGCCGATAAAGTTCATCCAGATTTTCCGGCGTGGTTTCCCCTTGTCAGAGATGCAGGACGGAGGGCCTGACAAGCACAGCTGTATAGTCGTTCGGATGGGACGAAAAACCGAGATCCCGTGTACACATTGGCGTGCACTTAAAAAAATCCCTTGGCAGTTGGAATTCGATATAAGAGTAGGCCGTAGAGCCGCTGCCCGGGTAAAATTTCCCTCATAGCAAACTGTATGGCGTATGCCCGTCTTCATTAGCCCAGGTTAGGAGCAGAACAGTAGGACGTTAAAACCCATTTCATTTCATTTCCATAGAATTGTCACCTGTATATGGGCTAATGAAGACCGGGCGGGTCATGCAGTGTGCTTTGGAGGATATTTTGTCTGGACAGTGACGCTATGGCCTACTCTTATTGAGAAATCCAACTGACAAAGGCCCTTTTAGATGCACGTCAATGTATACACGGGACCTCCGCTTTTCGTCCTATTCAAACGACTATATGCCGTCATTTGCCAGGTCCTCCCCGTCCTGCCCGACCGACAAAGATAACCACGCCGGAAAATCACGATGAACTATCTGGGCCAATTAACACCGGGATCGAACACGGGACTTCCAGGTTAGCCAGCCAACGTCTTACTCCCCGAGCCACCGCGGCATCCGTGTATAACGTGCTAACAGTCATGCACCCATTATATTTGGTAACACGTGCAATGCTGGCTCCAAGGGATGTTGGGGAATAAATGTCATTTTTTAAAATGGAAACCAAGGGTGTGCCACTGATAAACAGCACGAACCAACACATCTACGGCAATACCGTGACAACGCCATCTGTACAAAATTAATAGAGCCAAGGGCGGTAATCATTTATTTAATTTATTTTACTGAACTCGGATCTCACTCAGAAACTGAAATTGTAATTCGAAGTTTGACAGTATGCTAAAGACTGTAGTGAATTAATAAAAAAAATATACATAGGCTAAATTAATACTGTTACAATAGGGGTTCAAAAAATAACACAGATCTCTACAGGGGTGGATCCAGAGGAGCCCCCCCCCCCCCAAGCCCCCGCTCAGCTACATAAAAAAAATTGTAATTTTTGTAAAACAACACATTTTATGATTTATGAGAAAAGTGTCTCAGCCGTGTGCTTTATCCTTTATCATCAAATGGTGGGATGGGATGGGCATTTAAAGCGCGAGATAATGATGTAGACATTTGTGATGGTTTGCATCAATGAAATTAAATCACAATGTGATCCTATTAATTCATTGTAAAAATTGCCGTCAAACGGGGTGTTGGATTTCTCTCTTTAAAAAGTTCAGTGTGTATGTATGGTTTAACTTTATTTCAACAATTGCGCGTAGGGGTCTTTAGCAGTGGGAGGAAACCGGAGGACCCGGAGCAAACCCACGAGGTTGGACAGGCGACCCTACTCCTTGTCACGTACAACCGGGGATTCGAAACCACGCCAGTCGACTCAATGACAGACTTTATGATACAGCGCGCGCACGCTAACCATTCAGCCATCCACCCCCCCCCCCCCACAGAGAGAGAGAGAGAGAGAGAGATGGGGTTTAACGTCCACTCGACACAGACTAGGTCATTTCGGGACTAACATATGGTTTAATTTTATTTCAATAATTCGCTTGCGCCTAGGGGTCTTTAGCAGTGGGAGGAAACCGGAGGACCCGGAGAAAACCCACGAGGTTGGACAGGCAATCCTACTCCTTGTCACGTACAACCGGGGATTCGAAACCACGCCAGTTGACTCAATGACAGGCCTTATGATACAGCGCACGCACGTGCTAACCATTCGGCCACCCAACCCCCCTCTATATAAAAGAAACAGATCTATGTATAAAAGCGAGTAAAAGAGAAACTACATGGTTCAATCGTGAAATAAGGTGAAAATACTTCACCTAAGAAATCAGTTAAAAACCACAAACCGTGGGTGCCAGGTGCGTGATTTATTTTTAATAATCTTGACAAACCTCAGAAATACGTCTTGTGGCTACTTTAACTTCGTCATTATTTCTAACAGGCATTGGAGCTCGTCGGTTATAATACTGCCGCTAAGTACCTGTATACAGAATAGTATCCGATCGGCGGAGAAACATCGTAATTGTACTGTTCGATCCCCGCATTGGCCGCGAGAATGTTCATTCGGATTTTCCGGCGTGGTTCCCATTTGTCAGTGATACAGGACGGAGGGCCTGTCTAGTAGTTCGGATGGGACGAGAAACCGCGGTCCCGTGTACACATTGGCGTGCACGTAAAAGATCCCTTGACAGTTGGAATTCCATATAATCGTAGGCTGTAGTGCCGCAAAATTTCCCTCATAGCACACGTCTTCATTAGTCCAGTTCGGAGCAGAATAGTAGGACGTTAAACCCCATTTCATTTTATTTCGTAATGGTAACCAAGCTTCTCGTAAGGTTACCCGAGTTTCCCTTTAACCGGCGGTAGCAAAAATTCGAGATCGCCTAGACCCTTCCATATTTTATCAGATGATTCTGGCATGCTGGGCTTTCCGTGGTTGAAATGGTTAAGACCCTGTCGGGTTTATCTACAAGCTTGACTGGCTGAAGCCGAGAACCTCACGTTCTAGGGACCCCCGGGTCAAGGTCTATAATATTATGACACTGTCACCAACCTTTTTAACATGCCCTGTATGGTCTTAAACATCCATATTCCTGAAGCAATGGCCCGAGAAATTCCTCTCTGGCCATTGATAGATTGACTTCTGATACTTGAGCTTTTGAGGGAGTGTGTCTATTCTTTCCGTTCAATCAAATCTATCCCAAGTACAGCAACATGACAGGCCTTCATTTAACCTGGGGTCTTCTCTAAAACTTTGGACAGTGATTTAAGATATTAAAAACGGTGAAAGTATTGTTCGTCTCCAAACAGTATTGTTTACATTGTATTCGTTTTGATAGCCTCGTATTCTGCTATGCACTGGGTAATTGGGAATAATAAAAACGTGAGTCATGGCGTAACCTTATGTAAACATATTTTGTCCACTATGGAGCGCTATTTAAAGCGTAATGATATTGTTACGCAGTTAGCTATTGGTTGTTAATCGGACTATTGATCAGTCATAATTTGGAACAGAAGTTTGCTTCCTTTACAGCTGTGTTAAGTGGGATTAGGTATAATCAAACGAAACACTGCTAGGAGTATGTAAACATCCATCATCGTCTAAAACACACTTTCATCTTCCTGAGGTTGGGGATGTGGACGGGGAAAGGGACCTCATAAGTGGGATAGCGTACGGTGTGTCTCTTCATCTGGATTAAGATCATGGGAATGTTCAAAGAAATTCGACAGTAGTCTGGCAGGTTAGGAGCAGATTTGACAAGGATGTGAACATTCCGGACAATCCTGGTTTTCAGCTTTGTAAGTGAATTCACTTGTCTCTCATCCCTTTGATGATTTATGATCAATAAAATATGTTTAAATTAAAACCTCGGCTTTTTACCACCTCCTCCATTTACAATATGGCGGTCACCTTAGATCTTTCAGATTGCCACTATGTAAAAACCTATATATCAGCTTCTAAACCACTTTGAATTGAAAACAGCTTCTACATGTTTAGGGTCAAGGAATAAATTAAAAAGGATCAGATTGCATTGACACACACAAAAAGAAAACGTACATATTTGAAAAAAAAATGGGTATACCAATATCCCAGATTCTTATCCAGTTCAGATGGCAATTGTATAAAAACTAACATTTTGATGGTCCAAAAATACAATTATACAATCTATATAGGAGAGAGAGAGAGAGGGAGAGAGATGGGGTTTAACGTTCACCCGACACAAACTAGGTCATTTCGGGACTAACATATTATGGTTTAATTTTATTTTAATGATTCGCTTGCGCGTAGGGGTTTTTAGCAGTGGGAGGAAACCGAAGGACCCGGAGAAAACCCACGAGGTTGGACAGGCGACCCTATTCCTTGTCACGTACAACCGGGGAATCGAAACCACGCCAGTTGGCTCAATGACAGACCGTATGATACAACGCGCACAGGCTACCCATTCGGCCAACCCCCCCCCCCCATCTAGATAAGTTTTTATTAGGGTATACAAGAGAAAGAGGTTGAGTCTCTGATTCGCTGACGATGTTGGTCGAGAAAGGTCCTAGAGATATTCCGGAGTGGTTTCCCCTTGTCAGGGGGCCCTGGCAAGGAAGCAAAGGCGTCTAGTCGTTAGGATGGGACAAAAAAAAAACAAAGTCCTTGTAAACGATGGTGTGCACTTGACGGTTGGTTTTCGAAATAAGAGTAGATGATAGCGCTGCTGTCTGGGATAAATTTTCAACACTGCAGGGCATATGATCGTCGAGGGGTTGGATGGCCGAATTGTTAACACGTGCGCGCTGTATCATAAGGCCTGTCATTGAGTCAACTGGCGTGGTTTCGAATCCCCGGTTGTACGTGAAAAGGAGTAGGGTCGCCTGTCCATCCTCGTGGGTTTTCTACAGGGTCCTCCGGTTTCCTCCCACTGCCAAAGACCCCTACGTGCAAGCGAAATATTGAAATAAATTATAACAATGTGTTAGTCCTGAAATGACCTAAGTTTGTGTCGAATGGACGTTAACCCTCATCTCTCTATCTTTCTCTCATATGTTCGTCTTCAATAGCAAAAAGGTCCTATGTATACTTTGGCGTGTACGTAAAAGATCCCTTGGCAGTGGTGCCGCTGTTCGGGCAAAAATTTATCGCATGGCACACTCAGTCAGAGCAAAATAGTAGGATCTTAAACTCCCTTTTATTTTATTTCATATTTTATTTCATATTTTATTGTAGCCTATAAATATTATAGATAAAATTTCAGTCTACCAGTAGGCCTACATATAACTGTTTTTATAAATATATATATAGGTGTATTACATCTTAATATAACATAAATATTCTCAAAGCGGATTACTTAAAAAGTTAAACAAAATCTTAAAAATTACACCTTAGACAAAAACAAACAATTTACAAACAAATATGAATACATATCCACCAGGGAAAGATAAAATATTATAACAATAAAAATCTTGAAGTATTATTGAATATATTTGTTGTCCTCTTGGAATACCACTAATATCCACATTGGGAAAAATATTTTATATCGCGATTAGGTTCGTTTTATACAATAAGATCGATAGCCATAAACATTTCAGCACATTGATTCAGGCACTGACGTCATATAGGCTATAAATGTAACTGTTGCGTGACACACCTAAAAAGATTGCTAATAACAAAGGGAAATAACTCCAGTAGGAGCAATCGTTTCTTTCCTTTTGACAAGCATAGCCTAACTATAAATTTAAAAAGTTTGAGAATCTTAAAAGCTCTTTCTTGCTCGTATATCTAGGAAGGGGGCAGTGGTACATTTCAGGAGACATCCAATACATCCTCAAATTAATTTTTTTTTAAAATTATAACCGTTAACTTTGGTTCACACTAACCCTGCACAGTTTATTACTTCTGATTTCACATATCTAAAATGTTTTCCCGTCTCACAGATTTCATTTCTGGGCCTTTTACTTGAGTCTTTTGTCCTCGCGACACTAAACCTCTGCACTACATTGTCATTCGGCAAACCTTGGTAATTCTACGAATGTAGGGTACCGGAAACTGTCGAGGTTTGCCGGGTGCTACATTGTTTTAGACCAAACTTGGTTATTATTAAAACACCACTACAGGCATGTTAAAGCACATAAAATATATCACAATTAATATCACAATTATTGCTTAATAATAAAACCGGAAGCGTAAAATACTCTACAATTATTAGTTATTTAAAAGAGGAAGAAATATTGGAATCAGCTTTTAGAAGGAGAATTGACGCCCTTTATTGTCGACCTGTGTAACACTCGGAGTCCAACTTGTGAAACGGGATATTGGGTTTCTGGTGTAGCTTCGTGTCCAACAGCCAAATTGTCTGATATTATAAAATCCCCCTCTTCCCACTGAAACAAACAATACAATTTAATATAAGATGATTTCTTGAATATTACAATATATACATTTAAATATCGGGTTATTTCTCAAAAAATTACAATAAATAATATTATAATTCAAGTGATTTTTCAAATAATGAGAGAGAGAGAGTGTGAGAGAGAGAGAGAGAGAGAGAGTGTGTGTGAGAGAGAGTGTGTGAGGGACAGAGAGAGAGGGGGGGGGGGGGGTTAACGTCCACTCGACATAAACTAGGTCATTTCGGGGGACTAACATATGGTTCAATTTTTATTTCAATAATTCCCCTTGGGGGTGGGGGGGGGAGAGAAAACCCACCAGGTTGAACTGGCGTCCCTACTCCTTGTCACGTACAACCGGGGAATCGAAACTACGTCAGTTGACTCAATGGCAGATCTTATGATACAGTGCGCACGCGCTAACCATTCGGCCATCCATACCCACGAACTGTCTCGTCCATCACCGGGAACGAACACGGGTCCTCGTGACTAGGGAGCCCGCGCCTTCCGAAGCGTACATATTATAATACAATTTACCTGATGTTTATAGATGAGATCTTTGTTTTTGTTTATTTCTGTATAAATATCATTTAATACATCCTTAGTTTCATCGTCGTCAAAAACTCTTTCATTAAAATGGCCGACATCAGATACAATTTCGGCTATCATGCCTAAATGGAAACACATTGTCTGGAACAAAAACATAACATAATAATGAAATGGGGTTTTATGTCCTACTGTTCTGCTCCTAACCTGGGCTAATGAAGACGGGCATACGCCATACAGTGTGCTATGAGGGAAATTTTTCCCGGACGTCAGTTACATTTCAACTGTCAGTGGTTCTTTTACGTGCACGCGCCAAGATGTACACGGGTCCCCCCCCCCAATAATTTGGCCGCAAGTACTCTTTTCTCCAGGTTATTGTGGCCCCTGAACCCACGCCTATAAGGACTTAGGATGGAAGCCCCCCCCCCCCCCCCAATCAAGAATTGCTTCCGCCGGCCCTGCTAGAGTTGTAGATGATGTTATTTTTGTGAAAAATCATTGGAAGAAGCGATAAGACGTTTTGTACGGATTATACAGTCCTAAAGGCTGCAAGAAGACTCTTGTTTACAATGTAACATTGTGTCTTGTAATGTTGATAATGATCATAATGATGGTGTTTACATTTTGTTTGTTGGTGTGACCTCATGACCTGTGACGTTTAGATAACGTCATATTGATATCATGGCTATTCACTGTGTCAGAGTCACTTCTCTGCAGGTAGGGTGAGTCTGTCGTTCAGATTGTGAAACGGTCTCATTACATTAATGATGTTGGACCGTTTCCATACAACCGGCGGAAACACACACTTGTAAACTGGCCTAACAGTCCGACTACTGTATGTATGGAGGTGAATATAAAGGATATTTTACTTACAGGTTGACCGGTTGAAGGATGTGGATATATGAGAGGATGGATGACGTCATAATGGCCGTTACTAACCATCCATAGAGAATTCCATTTATCTCTCTTCTCTCTCGGTAGACGGTTAATCAAATCATGGAGAGATATAAAGGCTGTAGAAAAATTTAAAAAAAATATCACGTGCAGCATTCTAAACAGAAATGAAATGGGGTTTAACGTCTTACTGTTCTGCTCCGACTGGGCTAATGAAGACCGGCATACGCCATACAGTGTGTTATGGGGGTAATTTTGCCCGGACAATGGCGCTACGGCCTACTCTTATATAGAATTTCAACTGCCATGGGTTCTTTATGCGTATATACACAACAATGTGTACACGGGATCTCGGTTTTCGTCCCATCCGAACAACTAGATACGTTATCGGCCCTACGTCCTGCACCGCTGACAAGGGCTAGGGGCATTCTAAATAGTACGGGTTTAACGTTCTTTTCTTGTTATGCTCTACCTGGCCATACGTCTTCATACGGGCATACGTCATATAGTAATAAAACCTCCTACTTTTTGACTACATTAAAATTTGCAGCATTGTGTGCAATTCGTCTATTTAATCAAGTCTATTGTCAGTTTCTTAAACTTATCATTTGTCTTGTCTAAAATCGTCATATTGATTTTTTTTTTAAATTTTAAAAAGTAGTAGGCTACGGCATACTATACTATAATGTATTAATTTTATCAATTTTAAACGGTGTTTGAAAGATTTGACAAATATTTGAACAAAAAAACGTGATCCCGTATATCATCGGCAGTATATTTACAGATGCTCTAACACTCAGGCGGGGGTAGAAACAATAACAAGAGTGGGTTGTAGTGACTTATAGCCGAGTTAATTTCAACTGGGAAACCTGAGAGACTGGATATTGAAGGCTATTTTATAATAATAAATGCGCTTACCTGTGCTTCCTTCTCGTGGAACAGACACCATGTGATAAATGGCAAATCTAAACGGTTGCTTCATAAAACTGCCATCAATATGCCAACCGGTTCGTCCAACACCACGACATCCTTCTACGCTGTCATTAGAAACCCGGAAAACGTCTGGATGAGGGGATCTTTCATGCTTATAAAATGTAGACTCGAGCTCCCCGAACCAACGGCTTATTTCCGCGTGTCGCTCGCCGCTTATCACGCCTTGGTTTTTAAATATAAGAAGTTTATGTACATGCACGTCCTTTTTGATCTTTTCTATAATTTCCTCTGGCACATTTTTCTTCAGGTCAATTCCACGTACTTCAACTCCGATTTTGCCAGGACGATACTCCATTTCTTCCTCCATTAGCTAAAGATTCAATTTATAAAGACGTTTCGTATCAATGAAAGATGATTCGCCTATTTGTATTAGATACTTCGTCACGCCAATCTTATATTTTCATAATAAAGTGAAAAATTAAAAAAAACTGTAAATGTGATTTAACGTTCGTTTTCACTCATAAATAGATTGATTCGTCCGTTCCTTACGTTTTACGTCTACTTCCACCAAGGGTGATAACGTAGACAGGTAGGCCTATATAGACTTCTTCTCCTTCTTCTTCTTTCCTAGAGTTTTGCGTCCACTGGTTAAAACAATGCTATATATATTAGTATTCGACACTAATTTATCAAAGTTTACATTTAAATGGCTTCCAGGTTGATGGGATAATTGGCTACAGGCATGATTAAGCGAGATTGTTGTCAAACTTAATATGGTTGCCAATTAAAACACACTCTTAATTAACGTCGTAGATAGATATCCGTGAAGCTACTTAACTATAGTTTTAATCCTTTTGTATTTGATAATCCTCATGCTTGACTCCTCCTACTGGCGTGAGAACAAAAGCGCGCGGTGGCATGGGGTGGTAGGTGGTGATGGTGGGGTGGGATGTGTAACAGGATGACCCCACGTTACTAAAGCTATTTCACACACACATTTAGCAATTAACACGGGTTTTCATTTATTGAGTTTATTGAAACAGATTTACCGAATCATGTTCTTGATAAAAACGATAGTATCCACCTTGTTATGAGAAAGTTTATGATGTCCTGATTCCTTTGTTAATTATTTGCAATAAGATATGTAAAACCAGAAAAGTTTAATTCTTATTAAATGGAGAATTAGGCGTCATAAAAACACCCACACCCACATTCAAACACTTGTTTTTACTAGTTAATTTGCCAATTAACGGACCCAATAAGACTGTGTTTACTAGTTAATTTGTCAGTTAATGGGCCTAATAAGGCCGTGTTTACTAGTTAATTGATGTATTGTAGTAATCAATAAGTATAGATATCAGTATGTAAGTAATAATTTTGTTGTTTCTGCAATCTGGTTCTAAATCTATGCTAATGTTTTATTTAATACTTGAAATAACATTTTAAAAAACATCTTTTTAAAGTAAATCTCTCTCTCTCTCTCTCTCTCTCTCTCTCTCACCCTCTTGCTTCACAGATAAAGTGTTAAAATTATAAACAAATAAAATCATCATAATAAAGCAGTTACAGTATGCAAATGGTGTGGCATGACCGAATCTTTTGCCCTGGGGCCCTACATAAGCGCAGGAATAATTCCTGTGGGAGGAAACCAGTGTAACCGGAATAAACCCGCGAGGTTGACAAGGGCACATTCGCTCACACCAGGGATCGAACCCACGACCGCAAGCCAGACAATCTCAGGGGTGTCAAGCTCATTTCGGGAATCACATGGTTAAGTGGGTAAGACGCTGGCTCGCTAGCCTGGAGGTCGGGTAATCGGTCCCTGCATTGGCCGAGAAAATTCATCCAGATTTTCCGGCGTGGTTTCCCCTTGTCGGTGATGCAGGACGGAGGGCCTGACAAGGACAGCTGTCTAGTCGTTCGGATGGGACGAAAAACCGAGGTACCGTGTACATATTGGCGTGCACGTAAAAGATCCCTTGGCAATTGGAATTCGATATAAGAGTAGGCCGTAGCGCCGCTGCCCGGGCAAAAATTTCCCTCATAGCACACTGTATGGCGTATGCCCGTCTTCATTAGCCCAGTTTAGGAGCAGAACAGTAGGACGCTAAACCCCATTTTATTTCATTTGTCAAGCTCATTTCGATTCAGGGGTCACATGAACTAAAATGTTACATCAAGTGGGTCGAAGATATACAAAAATATCAAGAAAATTTGATTGATTTATTTGACTAAAATCGTTACATATTATACACAAAGTTATCTGGTATATTATACTCAAAGTTCTCTATGCCATACAGAGAGAGAGAGAGAGAGAGACAGACAGAAAGAGAAATGGGGTTTAACGTCCACTCGACACAAACTAGGTCATTTCGGGACTAACACATGGTTCAATTTTATTTCAATAATTCGCTTGGGCGTAGGGATCTTTAGCAGTGGGAGGAAACCGGTGACCCGGAGAAAACCCACGAGGTTGAACAGGCGACCCTACCCCTTGTCACGTACAAACGGGGAATCGAAACCCCGTCAGTTGACTCAATGACAGACCGTATGATACAGCGCGCACATGCTTACCATTCGGCCATCCAACCCCCATCTATGCCATACAGTACAGAAATCTTAATGAAACCGGCAAACAATAATAAATGATTTTCACCGCTAGTTTCTAAGAACCATCTAATGCTGTTTGGAATACCGCTTATCTCGGGCGACATCATCTAGTGTCTAGTCGTTCGGATGGAACGAAAACCGAGTCTCGTGACAGTTTGAATTCGATTTACACGAAAGAGTAGGCCGTAGTCCCGCAGTCCAGGCCAAATTTTCCTCATAGCATACAATATGGCGTCCCCCGGTCTTCATTAGCCCAATCGGAGCAGACAAATAGAACGTCAAATGGATACAAAGTTATATTCTCTGGGTTTCTATAGAGACCAAGATTTTATATGGGAATCAAAGTATTCTAAAGGTACACGGGATTTCTATCGGGGTCAAGGTCTGAAATAGGGACATATAATTTCTATCGGATTCGGGACCCAGGTCTTGTACAGGGACCATGGTTTTCTATAAATGGTATGACTATATAAGAACCTCTGTTTATATGAATATGAAATGAAATGTAATGAAATGTGGCTAAACGTCAAACTGTACTGGGCTAATGAAGACGGACATACGTCATACAGTGTGCTATGAGGGAAATTTTACCCTGGCAGCGAAACTATGGCCTATTCTTATATCGAATTCCAACTGCCAAGGGATCCAATAATAAAGCTGTATACATAAACAAACAGACTATAATTAAAACAAGCATTGCATTTATTAACATCAAAAACAAGACAGAATTCACAAAAATTATAACAAATTATACAAAATTAACAAATAATTCCTTTTATTTATTATCAATAATATATTTAAACACATTATTATTTATTTATTTTTTAAATAATATTTTATTCAAAAATTAAAAGGGATTGAGGAACAAGTATAGCCTACATGACCTCCCTCCTATGAAAAGGTGAAAATTCTTAAAATGTATTAAACGAAAAACAAAATATAGTTCACATTTTCATTTCTATGTGCATCTAGACAGTAAGAGGCAGTATATATTAAATCTATTAATATTAATCATATCAAAAAAGAATGAGTCTGTTTGGTATAATAACATTTCTTCATATATGACTCTTAATTTCATATGTTAATTATACCCATTAATTTGTTTATTTCTTACGTTAATTTCAAAAAGGCATTTTTTGTTATTGCAAGCTATAATATTTTTATATTTTAATGAGTAAAATCTTTTGTAGTTTATAAACAATATATTTTAATGAGTAAAATCTCCTGTAATTTATGAAACATTTATTTTGATGAGAGTAAAACCTTTTGTAATTTATAAAACATATATTTTAATGAGTAAAAGTTATAAAATAAACGAACCAAACACGAGTTAAACATATTACAGATTAAATAAAATGAAAACGAAATATTCGTTACATAAAATTTGTACACTGTACAAAATTAATATTTAGAGAAAAGTATTATCATTCTTTTGCATGTCTTAAATTTCAACAATAACCTATCAATATGATAGAACTGTGTACCAATATGATGAACTTTGGGTTTAATATTACATTAAAATATTACTTATAAATGTATTCACATCTTTCTGTGGACAACACCGTGCGATAACAATAAACATTCGTATACAACCTTAAAACTATTTTTAATTACATATTTATTTGTGGACAACACCATGCGATAACAATAAACATTCGTATACAACCTTAAAACTATTTTTAATTACATATTTATTTGTGGACAACACCATGCGATAACAATAAACATTCGCACAACCTTAAAACTAGTTTTAATCACATATCTACCTTGAATGACATCCTTGGTATTCCTAGTGGCATTATTGCGTTGTACTTCACTAACTAACGGGAGGATACAGGGGATGTCTTGCGTACAATCAGATTAAAATACAGATCTATGTTTCGTTTCGTTTTTTTTTATACTTTCGATGGCCTCCACTACATGAAAATCTGACCGGTAGTAGTGGAAGGTCGCGTCAGGGGTCGCACAACTTAAAACACATTTTTTTAATTAGGCTTTTAACTGACTCTGTATTTAACATGTCCATCATCTTGTTGTTTATTTATGATTCCACTGTCACTTTGTAAAGTGCCCCTGGACATGTTATATGAAAGGGCGCACTATAAATATTCTGTACAGGCGGCTTTTGGCCATATGACGTCAGACATTGATTAATCAATGTGGTTTACCCACAGTTCCGTGCATCGCCTGCCAAGAACTGCCGTAAAAGACCGTTTGATTGGTTAATCCCTAACTTCAACCAGAACGCGAGTTATATAACAACTCTCCCAGATCTTAGTGTTGTGAAGACAAGTATAACGAAATTTTGAACTATAACAGACGAAACGAAATAGGATCTGTGTTTTAATCAGATGGTCTTGTGTGCTAGCCGTTGCAAACTGAAGAAAGGTTAAGCTAAACAAAACAAAATTTTAAATATGGCAAAGATTGCGCTGGATAAACATAATGATTATTATTATAAACAAATTCTGGAAATTGGTCGGATACTGATATAATGGACGCTAATTTACAATTCTGTTTCAAATAATGAAAGATTTGATATGTAAAGAAGTGTCATCTTTGTATTTCTAGGCGTCTCATTGTGTATCTTCTGGGCTACGGGGAGGTTCGGAAGGAGATCTTACGGAAAATTTTACATAACAACCAATCTGAACGGTTTCCCACATGGATTGATATATATACACCCCGTTACCATCACAACCAATTCTTCGCTGAACTTTCGAATATTTCATGAGTGGAGTACAGTCATAGACGGATGGTCCATCATCACCCGGA